GAGAGAGCCCAGGGCGCGAGAGGCGCGGGAGCAGGCTCCGAGAGAGCCCAGGGCGCGAGAGGCGCGGGAGCAGGCTCCGAGAGAGCCCAGGGCGCGAGAGGCGCGTGGCATAAAGACCCCGAGAAGGGTCAAGGTGCCAGGCACGGTTGCGTGCCACCTGAGCCCCGGCAAAAGCCCGAGACAGGGCTGGCGCGTAGGCTCAGCAGAGAGAGCCAAGGGCGCGAGAGGCGCGGGAGCAGGCTCCGAGAGAGCTAAGGGCACGAGAGGCGCGGGAAGCGCGTGGCATAAAGACCCTGAGAAGGGGCAAGGGGCCAGGCACGGCTGCGTGCCACCTGAGCCCAGGTGCGGTTTGTTGGCACGAGACAGGCCCCGTGAGGGGCAAGAGCACAAGAAGCGCAGAGACAGGCCCCGGTGAGGGGAAGAGCGTGGGAAGCGCGTGGCGTAGGCCCAAGGGGGGCCAGCCTGCAAGAGTAAAGCCCAGGAGGGGCTAGTATAAGGTTGGAGACACAAAAACGTCAGGAATAGCTGTGAGGCTTGGGGTGTGCTAAAGGGGAGGTAGGAGGCATGCATAGCCCATAGGGCTGGGGTGCACCAAGTCACCCTGAGATCATAGGAGATCCTAGGCAGCCTCCCATATTAACTACTAAGATCAAAGAGGTGGCGGGAGAGAATTAGAGGGTGCTGGATCTCCTAATTGGCACGGCAGGGGGGGCCTAGCGGGATCACGGCTGCCCATAGACCCCACCCCATGACAATATGCATAGCTTGGTATTAAAATAGAAGTAAACCCAAGTATTCATCTACAATCCGGCTTGTCCCCACTCCCGTGTGAAAGGTCCTGAAGCTAGCATCAGAAATCACAAAAGTACTAACCTGGGCTGGAAACAGAGTTGACTGCATGTCTGCATCTTCCTCTGCATACGCCAGGATGGTTCGTAAGGATCTCCTGAGGTATTCCTCATTGAAGTCAGATGACTTGCCAACCAGAGAAGCCAGAGACATGGTCACTTGCATCTTTACTCTTGCAAAGTTCTTTATAAAAGGAAAAACACCAAAGAAGAAGAGTTTATTGATTCAAACATACTTGTTTTCCATATGTTTCTGTTTACTTTAGGTGCTTGCAGGATGTAAATCAACTTTTTTCCTCTTTGCTTAAACAAAGAAGGCTAAAGTCACCCCTGGGACCAGTGGCCATCACTCTAAAGTCAACACAGTTGTACCTGTTTACGCCAGGTGTCAATGTGGCCCAGTAATGCATTTG